AAAGACTCCCTTTTGTGCTTCGCACACAGGAGTCAAAAAGTTATAGACAAATGTTCATGAAAGTTTTAGGAGAGGTTCCACTTGACCAATGGAGAATAGATTCTCGGGGAGATCTGGTTAATACTTTTCATACAAACTATTTGAATGATTTTTTTATTGCCAGACATCTCAAAAAGCTAAAAAAAAATTTCATGAATTTCTTAGAATCAGTCTCCTTGTAAGACAAAGAACCATTTGTTTAGATTTTGAGGAGATCTAGACAAGGTTGTCAAATAACATGATTTTTTGAAACGATCATTATTATATTACTCGAAACATTATAGAAGATTATATTTTGTTTTATGAGACCTGGATTTGGTTACCATAGAGATATCATTGCATAAATTAACATTTGTGATGACAATAAAGATAAATATCTTCTAGTTAATCTACTACTGTTCATTCATGAAACATTTGTTATTATACAGTTTGTGTTTACTATTTTTCTGTGGCAATCTTTCCATAGCCACTTAATAACCACATAAAAAAGTAGAAACTAGATTGACTCTTTGTTTATTGGGCAGCGGCACTGAGACCCTGGAACAGTACAAGAATCATGATCCCTTATTGTCAATTGTATGTACAAAGTATCCATCTATACACAACTAATATCTGGTTCCACAATGGCAGAAATGCTTGATAGCGACTTTTAAAACATGTATAGCAGTCATTTGGTCATCTAGAATACATGTGTCACATGTGGCCATAGCGTGTCATTGTTTAACACAAGCATCTACCCATGAGCCTTTGCTTTCTTAGCGCGCGTTATCATCGCTTGGGACTCAAGTCCCACGCACACAAGGTGACGACCCTCCCGCTTCGAAACAAAATATATGCCAGTCAGAATTTTATCTGCAAAACAAAATGACGTGCTCCAAGGTCCCATTATGTTCAATGCATGTACAAAGTTTGAATGAAATTCATGCACACAATGCTGGATTTTGATAACTTTTTAACACTGAAATGTCCGTAATTCAGCCATATTGAATCAGATCATACAAAAATGTATATTTATATGTGAATGTGTCTGAGAAACAGGTACATGGTGCAAGGAAACAGTTTTTTTGTATTATATATGGACTATGTCTGAAATAAAACCATAATAATAAAAACAGGGACTAAAAAAAGGGAAGTTCCAATATTACATGGCTTTATAGTTTATTACTTGTATAGTATATTTTCTAAATAAAATATGTAACATAAAAACATCATTTTTTCAATGACTTGTGTGCTGGTATGGTTTATGTAATTTTGTGATGTTACAATCATGCATACTTTTACTCATACACTTCAAAGTAAACTGGAGATGGGTAGTGTAGGTAGGAGTAACATATTTAGAAAGTTTACCGACAGAATTTAAAATGACTGTGTGACCACGATGCCTTTTTTTCAAACCACAAATGAATAATTTCAATCTCAAGAAAAATAAGTCCAGAGCTGTGTTCATTATGCCCAGTTTGTGCTTCGGACTAGGTTTATAAATCTAACTGTTGAAGGTTGAACTTTGTAAATTCACCCATAGATGGTCAATAAAGCATTTTATTAATTTACCAGTATATATCTCTTTCTAGCATTAGCATGTTTCGCTTGGTTGCATTAGAATTGTACCAATCCCACACTAACAACTGGTATGATAAACAACTGACCACACATTGTCCATCACAAATCTTATTCCACAGTGTCGGCCGAATACAACTATGACATGTATATGCATTATAGAAATCATCGCTATTTACAAAACTATTAAATATCCATGGGAACTTATTTCCTGAACACATGTCTAGATTGTCATATAATGATGTCTTTCACAAATTTCTACATTTATGTACAATGATAGCTTTAA